GACGGAACGACAGACACGACGGGACTGTCCAGGAACAACACGCACGAGTCTGAAACCACAGACACGCGGAAGAGAACTTGTGGAACCTGGATTGAAGCGGTGGGTTTTTCGTTTTTCTTCAGCCAAATTTGCTGAAATCACCGCGACAACAGCAGCGGTGAAACGTCAAAGTTATGGTTCCAAATGTCGGGACGAATCAGAGGTGCGCCCGCGTAGACCATCAGGTGACCGCGGGTGAAAGTTTAGTTCTGGTTCAGTCCTGGTTTAGACCTGGTTCAGTTCTGGTTCAGTCCTGGTTTAGTCCTGGTTTAGATCTAGTTTAGATCTGGTTTAGTCCTGGTTTAGTCCTAGTTCAGTCCTGGTTTAGTCCTGGTTCAGTCCTTTTTTATTCCTGGTTCAGACCTGGTTTAGATCTGGTTTAGACCTGGTTTAGTCCTAGTTCAGTCCTGGTTTAGACCTGGTTCAGTTCTGGTTCAGTCCTGATTTAGTCCTGGTTTAGATCTAGTTTAGATCTGGTTTAGTCCTGGTTTAGTCCTAGTTTCAGTCCTGGTTTAGTCCTGGTTTTAGTCCTGGTTTAGTCCTGATTTAGTCCTGGTTCAATCCTGGTTTAGTCCTAGTTCAGTCCTGGTTTAGTCCTGGTTTAGATCTAGTTTAGATCTGGTTTAGTCCTGGTTTAGTCCTAGTTCAGTCCTGGTTTAGTCCTGGTTTAGATCTAGTTTAGATCTGGTTCAGTCCTGGTTTAGATCTAGTTTAGATCTGGTTTAGTCCTGGTTTAGTCCTAGTTCAGTCCTGGTTTAGTCCTGGTTCAGCCCTTTTTTATTCCTGGTTCAGACCTGGTTTAGATCTGGTTTAGACCTGGTTTAGTCCTAGTTCAGTCCTGGTTTAGTCCTGGTTTAGTCCTGATTTAGTCCTGGTTTAGTCCTAGTTCAGTACCTGGTTTAGTCCTGGTTTAGATCTGGTTTAGTCCTAGTTTAGTCCTTGTTCAGTCCTCGAACACTGGCTGCGACATGAAAGAAATAACTCGATGACAAAGGTTAGACGAGGCGATGCCGAAGCCGACGAGGAGGAACGACAGACACGACGGGACTGTCCAGGAACAACACGCACGAGTCTGGAACCACAGACACGTGGAAGAGAACTTGTGTTTTTCTAGTTTTGATCGAGACTGTGTGAAGTGTCCATCTCAAATCTCTGTAGAGTTTTAATTAATTTTGTTTGGCATAACATATTTTATCGTAACAACATATTTTATCGTAAGTGTCTTTCGTTTAGACCAGGGGTGTTAAACTCATTTTGTTCCGGGGGTCGTATCCAACCGACTTTGATCCCAAACTCATGTCATATAAACCCCAAAAAATAACAATAAGTTCAAATATTTGTGCAGAGAAACACAAATCTATTACAGAAATCTTTTTTAATTGATGAACTCTTCCTGAAATATTATAAAATATAATAAAACATAAAATATTATAATTTTATGAACAACCTGAAACTTTAAGAAACTTTCAACACATTGTTTTAACATGAACTTGTCTGTAAACAGGAATAAGTCCATTTTTGTTGTAAAATCCTGCACTCGGCTCCACTTTTCTCATGTTGGACATTTTTCTGATGAGGGTGTCACGGTCAACAGTCAAAACGATCGTCCTTTAAGAGCGTTTGGAAAGAGACAAGTCTTCATTTGTGCTGCTCTGGTGGGAGGGGCCACGTACAGAGACGCTGGAGACGCTGCTGTGATAAACACCACAGAAAATTAACACGATTTTAATAGAAAATATCATTAAAATATTTTAGTAGAAAATCAGCCGAGGGCCAGATTAAAGGTCTTGGAGGGCCGGATCTGGCCCCCGGGCCGTTTGTTTGACACCCCTGGTCTACACCCCCTGGTGATGGCATTTTTGTTGTAGTTATTTGTGAAATTGACTGATGACTTTCCACAAACATTACATCAAAACTGAAGTGGGACAAGACCAGATCTAAATCGTCACAGTTTCCACGTGGCAAAGCAGAGAAAAAGACCTGGACCCAGTCAAGCAGAAGTAAACAACAAGGCCAAAAATTCAAGTTAATTCATCTGATATAAAAATGTATTGAACAGATACATATGTACTCTAGTTTATGAAACTGTTGACCTTTTTTCTGGACCATTTTTGGTTCTAAAGTTCCATCCGTTTTAAACAGACCATGAATGAAACATGGAACAAAAATTATTTCCCAAAGATCTGCAAATCATGTAAATAAATGGATGTATTTCATCATATCTTGTGTTATTCCATCTTTGAACTGCTGATGAAGGTACAGGATTTTTTTTTTTTTAAGTATTTAAAATGATAAAAATGTGCTTTTAAGGACTGACATATTTTATAGAAATAGTTTTCTTTCATTTTGAAGTATTTGGAAGAAAAAATCTGACAAATTATATAAAATCCTGCACCTTCTACTTGCTTGCACAATTTTCCCTCCGTTACCATGACCTTTCTTAATAAAAAATCAACCTTTTTTTCAACCTAATCTTGTACCATATGGTAGAAAACTATATGAAGCAAATATTCAAACCAGTTTGTTAAGGATATGGAAGTGAGAACCAAGAGTTATCACTGTTTGGATTTATTGCCCAAAAAGTGATGCATATTTCATTCCCTCCGTTACCGACATGAATTTTTAAATGTTTTGTCAACAACTTGAAAGAATATCACAGGTTTAACTTGACCCTGTTGGAGTGTAACTCTTTCCTACATTCTGATACTTTACTTATTTCAATAGTTCCTCTAGTTTCTGAATAAGAGTCATTTGAATGTCAAAAATCTGCCTGTTTCCCTCCGTTACCACTTGACCCTCCTCAGTCTCCTGTTTTTTTTGTTTTTTTTTTTTTTTGATGACAGCTACAGGCACTGGCCTAGAGAGCACAGGTTTGATTCTTTATTATTTTTCTCTGCGCTCCTGTTCGATCGTACATGTACAAGAGCACTGCTGTGGTCCATGCTCTCCTCTTCTCTCGGCTGTAATGTAAATCCAACACGACTGATCCCAACATCTGAGCAAACTCCGTGTAATTGTTTTCAAATATTGACTCTGGGTTCTCGCGTATCGGGGCCCAGAGCGCGTCGTACGGCCCCATCACTTTCAGCGGCAGCACACGCTCTATTTGCTGTAATCAGGTCCAAGAGTGTATGAGAACCACATGGAGCCATCGATCACGGGATAGTGCCGACGCGACTCCCGGGGCCAGAAGACTGAGTAATGTCCCCCCCCCATAACGGAGCCGGGCCCAGATACTGTCCACGTCCCGCTAACAAATCTGCTTCAGAACGAGGACGGGACCGAACACGTGTGCGAGAACAAGGAGGAAAGACGGAGGGAGGAGTGGTGCAAGAGAGGAAATGGAGTTTTTAAGGAAGTTTATGTAAGATTTTGATTTTAAACGTCATTTTTTTACACTAAATTGACTCTTGTGAGCTTTTAGTGATGTTAGAATGTTGTTACTTCCTCAAAAACAGACCTGGAGTTGTGTTTTTTTGTTTCATTCACACTTTATTATCACTCTGTTTACATCTTTGCTTGTCTTTGCTTAAATGAAGAGTTATGGTGGAGTAACAGCTAAAAAAAAGACAGAGCATGTCCAAACTGTGGCTCGTGGGCCTCAGACAAATTTTTCTTGGTCATCAGGCTTCCAGATGAATTGGCCCAAATGACCTTGCATCAATTAAAATGAACTTTTTACTGCAAGTTTTTTGAAATCTACCTTAATAAAGCGAATATTCAGTATTTAGTGTGTGTTTTTAAGGATCTTAACATGAATAAAAACTGATGGTTCATTCTAACATGTTAAACCTGCACATATTTTAATTATTCACTGTTATTCTGCTTCATCTGTGTTTAGAAATGTGGCGCTTAATGAAAAAAGTTTGGACACCCCTGACATAGACCATGATCCTTTGCTCCATTTCAATGCAGACGACAAGAAGAAATAACAGTTCAAACACTTTTAAAGAATCTGTGTATCATTCGTTCATTCGTTTTTTAATATAAACCCAAAAATACAAAAACGAAAGAACAACTATTTTCTTCATTATTTGTCTCCAAAACCAAAATTAAAAAAACAGATAATGATTCATTTTTCAGTTTTCGATTTTGTGTTTAAATAAATAATTTCCCGTTTCCGTGACTTAAACTGCGATGCTGGACTGAAACAGGACTAAACCAGGTCTGGGACCAGACTGGAACCAGACCAGGACCAGACCGTGATTGAGACCCGGACCAGACCAGGACTGAAAACGGTTTAGTCCTGGTTCAGTCAGTTTGCGGCATCGTAGTTTAAGTCACGTAAACGGGAAACGTCCTTTATCCGTTTAGAGCTGTGGGAACAGAGCTCTAGGAAAATAGAGCTGAGAGAACATAGAGCTGAGGACTTGTTTTGGGGAAAAAAACAAACAAAAAAACAACTTAGAAATGAGGGAACAAAGCTGTGGGAACATAGAGCTGTTAGAACAGAGAACTGTGGGAACATAGAGCTGTAGGAAAATAGAGCTGTGGGAACATAGAGCTGTAGGAAAATAGAGCTGTGGGAACATAGGGCTGAGGGAACGTAGGGCCTAATTTTGGAAAGAAAAATAAAAACTTAGAAATGTGGGAACATAGAGCTGTAAGAACAAAGAAATGTGGGAACATAGAGCTGTAGGCACGCTCTCTGTGGGAATATTTTGACCAGAAAATCCAGTATTTTCATTCACACACAAACAATCCTCGGGAAAAAAAGTCCAGAACAGCGTCGGAAGGGAATAAACACTCGTAGTACAATGTAAAACTCTTTATCTGGGAGTATTTTTTCCAAGTTCTCTTTCTCCGTCTCTCTCCAAGAAAACACAACACCGCTTTTCAACTCACAAACACCTTTAAACGTGAATTATTTTGGACGATTTGCATCAACCAAACCAGACACCAGCATCACAGCGACCCGTCTCTGCGGCGGCGGCGGCGGGGTAAACGGCGCCGTTACTCACCGTGTTGAATCCGGGGAAGAGGCTGAGCGCGGAGCCGGCGTCCAGCGGGAAGGGCAGGAACTGTTTGAGGGCCAGGGAGGGCTGCTGCACGGCGCTGGCCATCGGGGGGCGCACCAGAGCGGGCATCAGGCCGTTCTGACAGCTGGTCCCTGCAGGACGACACGGGGAGAGGGGACAGAGTCAGGAGACGGTCCAAATGTCCAACCGAGACAAGCTGTTCATGGACGATGGGTATTTTTACATCAGCGAACACGTGTGAGAGTTTAGGTTAGACATCACTGTAAAAACTTTAGATTTTATACCTGAAGTGATGTTATCTGTAGGCACTGCTCTGTCTGAAGTTACTCAAGACTTTAATCTGAGGTTTGTTTTAACACAGTCTGACCAGAAAGAACTGATTTTGCTAGAACGACAACAGATGGGCAGATTTGTGCTGTTAAACAATTCTCTCTCTCTCTCTCAAGTAACATTACAGTAAAGTGACCAGATTTTCAAAATAAAAAACTGGGACATCCCTGCTGAAGCCCATTTCCACCAGTAAATAAAAAAGAAAAGCCTCACAGAAAGTCATATTTATAAGTTTAAAAGTCATAATCACGAGTTAAAAGTCATAATTATGAGTTAAAAGTCACAATTACCAATTTAAAAGTCATAATTATGAGTTAAAAGTCATAATTACCAATTTAAAAGTCATAATTATGAGTTAAAAGTCACAATTACCAATTTAAAAGTCATAATTATGAGTTAAAAGTCATAATTACAAGTTTAAAAGTCATAATTACAAGTTAAAAGTCATAATTACCAATTTAAAAGTCATAATTATGAGTTAAAAGTCATAATTACAAGTTTAAAAGTCATAATTACAAGTTAAAAGTCATAATAACCAATTTAAAAGTCATAATTATGAGTTAAAAGTCATAATTACAAGTTTAAAAGTCATAATTACAAGTTAAAAGTCATAATTACCAATTTAAAAGTCATAATTATGAGTTAAAAGTCATAATTACAAGTTAAAAGTCACAATTACCAGTTTAAAAGTCATAATTAAGAGTTTTAAAGTCTTAATTTTTTGACAGTTTTTGAAGTTGACTCTGAAGCAGCTCTCACCATGACAGCACCATTTTCCTGTATGAATACTCAGACCGGCGCCGAGGTCAGGAATCAGAATTCACTAGACAGTTCGCAAAAACCCAATCAGCGAAGAGATCGAGAATTTAAAGCCGGAAGCACCGCAGAGCCAAAGGTGCTTCACCCCGTTTGGATTAAACCAGGTCCACGGACAGAGGAACACAGACGGACACTGCACGTACTCCTTCATGTTGGATTTGTGTGGATATCTGTATCTTTTTACACTTTTTACAACATTCACAAGTTAACGAGGAAATGGAGCGATGTGGAGACGTCCTGAGCACCTGGAGGACGGCCTCTTCTGGAAAATGGCCGTGAGCAGATTCAGAGTCTACTTTAAAACTCGACTTTTAAAACTTAATTATGACTTTTAAAACTCGTAATTATGACTTTTAAAACTCGTAATTATGACTTTTAAAACTTGTAATTATGACTTTTAAAACTTGTAATAATTATGACTTTTAAAACTCGTAATTATGACTTTTAAAACTCGTAATTATGACTTTTAAAACTCGTAATTATGACTTTTAAAAACTCGTAATTATGACTTTTAAAAAAATGACTTTTTTGTAATTATGACTTTTAAAACTCGTAATTATGACTTTTAAAACTCGTAATTATGACTTTTAAAACTCGTAATTATGACTTTTAAAACTTGTAATTATGACTTTTAAAACTTGTAATTATGATGACTTTTAAAACTTGTAATTATGACTTTTAAAACTTGTAATTATGACTTTTAAAACTTGTAATTATGACTTTTAAAACGTGTAATTATGACTTTTAAAACGTGTAATTATGACTTTTAAAACTCGTAATTATGACTTTTAAAACTCGTAATTATGACTTTTAAAACGTGTAATTATGACTTTTAAAACTTGTAATTATGACTTTTAAAACTCGTAATTATGACTTTTAAAACTCGTAATTATGACTTTTAAAACTCGTAATTATGACTTTTAAAACTCGTAATTATGACTTTCTGTGAGGTTTTTGTTTTTTATACTTACTGGAGGAAATGGGCTTCCATACATCCCTGGTTTGTTGTGGTTGGTAATAATAAAATTGTAAAACAAGTGCGTAATTAAGGAAAACTGTTCCGCACTCGGCCCATTCATGACTAACACAGGTCAGTATAGTCACATTTTCTTTGTGTTTTGGTCGTCTATAAGCAGCTTTCCTATATTTTACCGAAACAAATGACAATGTAGGCCTCTTTTTACTGTTGGCAAGGATCAAATTGGTCAAAAATAGGGACACTTGGGACATTTATTGTATAAAAGTGGGACAAATCAATACGTTTCGGATAAATGTGCTGGGACTCTGCCGGGCTCAAAACTGGGACTGTTCCGGATAAATAGGGACGTCTGGTCACCCTAAGATAACCTTAACCAACAGTTTTTCAGTTTGTCACCTTTTTGTTGAAAATCAAACACCAAAATAGGACCATGAACACTTGTACCGATCACTGGTTAATGAAAATGTGCTCTTTAAATCCATTTTGTATTTTTTCTTGAGTTTTCAGACTATTTTTTGGCATTTTTTGCTCTTGTGTGCATTGTGTCACCATGCTAAAATAATATATGGTTAAACATAGAGGTTTGAAGGGCAATTGTGTCTTGTTTGATGAATAAGGAACAAAAACAAAAGGTAGAAATCAGCTGTGAAGTTGCTTTTGGACCCTGAACTGTCCTCATCACTTCACAGTCCTGTAACTGTCAGACTGCAGATTTGTTGACCTGGTTTATGGTTCGTATTTCTGTAATTACTGGGCCTTTCCACATGAAACAAGAACTGGCACAAAGCTTAACATCTTCTGTCAGAATAAAGAAACAAAAGTAAAATGATTTTTTTCAAAACAGCTTCGGAAAGACGTACATTATTCAACCCCAAAGATGTACTAGTCGAGCAATTCTGATTATTCACTGCAGGAACAGAGCGAAGTTAAACAAACAGCATACTAACTAGCATACTAACACGCACTTCCTGATCACTGACAATGAAATTCTTTGTAATTAGATAGACAGTATATAAAAGACTTATTTTGACCTCAAGAGCAGCTTATACAATAAATCTGCACTGGGGAAAGTCAAATTAAGCTCAAATACTTGGAAAAAAAATGGATACAGGGCATTTAAAGGTGCATTACGTAACTTTTCACCTGCTTGTTTCCATGGATATGTCATTGCTCTGCCTGGAATGTTCCACAATATAACAATAAACAGCTCTACCTTATATTTATTCAATTACAGGTGGTTTTATTGCTCAGGAAAAACACACGCTCTGACCTGCAGCTCGGTCGGGTTTGGTCTCCATGAAGTTAGGAAAGGTTTAAAGCCACACTGCGAAACATTCCAGACACAACGATAACATCTCTGTGGAGAAAAGCGTTTTCTGCACCCGAAAAGTTACACAATGCAGCTTTGCGTAGAGCCAACGCACGCATTTTTACAACTTGACCTAATGGAAAAAGTGACACAAATTCAATAATAATCCCCACTATCTCGTATAAAACCGTCTTTCTCTCTCGTCCGGGCCAGTGTGTCATTATCACATCAGGCTCGGAGCTGTTGGGATGTTCCACACAATGAGCCTGTCCATAAATCTGCCTAATGTAGTCACCCCCCTCACCCCCGACTCACCCCCGTCACCCTGTCATTATCTAGCGCAGGACGCCGGGGGTGCCGAGTGATTTCCATTAACTACATTCCATTCTGTAGTGTGCATTGTTCAGGCTTTTAAAAGTTCTTTGGGACATCTGGGCGCTGGTATTTCACCCTTTTAACAATCATAACAAAGTGTAGGTACGGAAAACAAACATCGGAAATCTGATACTAATTGATATTAAAACTCAAATCGAAACTAGACACTTATTTGGCGGCGGCGCAGAGGCGGAGTGGTCAACCCGGGCTTTTCTGTGTGGAGTTTGCGTGTTCTTCCTGTGTCTGGGCGGGCTTCCTCTGGCACCCCAGGGTCCCCCATCAACCCAAAACCATAGACTGTATATATATATAAAAATAAAAAAAGTGATGTCACCCACAGCGTTCAAGCGTCGCTCAAATGAGGCTCCCGATGTTCACGGTTACAGGAGCGAATCTGGAGCCAGACTCTAAGGCTACGTTCAGACTGCAGGGCTTAACGCTCAATTCCGATTTTTTTGTGAAATCTGATGTTTTTTCGAGGTCGTTCACGTTTCCAGTTAAATGCGACTTGTATGTGACTCCAGTGTGAACGTTAAACGGCCCAAAAGTGTCCCACATGTGACACTGGAGACACGACGACGTCAACCGCAGCGAGCGTCTCTGTGTTTACGGAAGTTGTCCAAACATGGACGCAGCATCGAGCACCTGGAGATTTTAAAGTTCCTCTCGTACCGGAGCCAGAACATGAACAACTTACTTGTTTTAAGGAGGAGATTGAGAAGGAGAAGGACGAGGTTTTTGGTCGTGGTGTTTTGTGGTTCAGTCCGTTGAAAGGAACGTGTGGATGTGGAGACGGAGTCAAGAGTGGTGAGTGGTGATGTGCTTCACTTCAGTCACACGGAGTTCATTAACAATTTTCGCCGACTTCAGCGCAGAATAGTGACGTTTGTGTCTTGTTGATAACGTGTAGGTGGATGAATGCACTTTGTCCGTTCACACTGAAGTCACATGTCAAAAGATCAGATATGTATCAGTTTCAGGAGCACATATCCAAGTGTCCTGGGTCACATTAAAAAAATAAAAAATCAGATCTGTGTCGTTCAGACTGTCATTAAAAGATCAGATACAGGAACATAGGGGCCAAAAAATTGGATTTGGGTCACTTCAGGCTGCAGTCTGAACGCAGCCTAAGTTATGAACGGGATTTTTTTGACGGACTAAATAGCGAAAAAAAAAAAAAAAATTTCAGGATCATGTGTCGCGGGTTAATAGGAACATTTTAAGACCAAAATGACGAGGCTCACAGCAGCAGGTACAGAGAGAGGAGAGACAAGATCCTAATGTAAGTCAAATGGAGTCGAGGTCAAAAGGAGCCGGAAGAGCCTCAGTCATATATAAGGTCTATGCCCAAGACGTGAACCAGAGGTAAAATTCTCCCGCTGAGGCAGTTCTGACCAAGATTAACAACAAGATCATGGAGAGGGGTTCCCTACAGCAGAGGTCCCCAACCCCAGGGCCGCAAAAGTGAGAAACCCTAACCCCTGCATGTCTTCTCGCATACGCCACGTGGACTGTGCCTCCTCCAGTGTTTCCCGTGCATCTAAACCATGTCTAAAACAGGATTTAACGAGGACTAAACCATGCTGAGTGGACCACATCTCCTCTCGTATGCCTGCCCCCATATGTAGCGTCTTCTCGTGTACGTCATATGGACTGCACCTCTTCCCGTGTTTCCCGTGCATCTAAACCAGAACTACAACCAGGTCTAAAACCAGGACTAAAACAGGATTTAACCAGGACTAAGTCATGCTGAGTGGACCACATCTTCTCCCATATGCCTGTTCCCACATGCTGTGTCTTCTCGTGTGAGCCATGTGGACAGAGCCTCCTACTATATGCCACCGGTCCACGAAAATATTGTCCTGAAAATCGCTCCCCCTCTTCTTCCAGTCCGCAAAATATTGTCGGACATAAAACCGTTTCGTGGCGCAAAAAGGTTGGGCCAACAGGTATGATAAAGTACTACAAAACAAAACTGAACAAACAGCAATAAGAATGAGAGTGAACGAAAAACAAGTATGGACAATCAGATACTAACTGATACTAAAACTAGTATCAAAGCTAGATATTCATCTGAGCAGGTATCAATAATCAAAAAGTCCCATTCACAGGACAGAAATGCAACTGCGACTTTATTTATAACACATTTTAAAAACAACACAGGTTGACCAAAGTAAAAACTATAAAACAACATATGACTAAAAACAGAATCTAATAAAATGTCAATATTTCAAACTGTCAAAAGGCCGAAGTGAACAAGTGCGTTTTAAGACGAGATTTAAAAACAGGTACAGAAGAGGTTTGTCTAATGTGCAAAGGCGGCTCATTCCACAACTAAAGTTTTCCTGAAAGTCTTTAGAACAAACTGGAGCTGTTTCAGAACAAGTATCAGAGCACATAGACGAGTTTACGCTCATGGACCAATGAGGATTACACACATATAAGGACACGTTTGAATAAAAAAGAAAGTACGACCATTTAATATAGA